CCCGGCCTTATTTATTTATTTTTTAATTGGTGATAAATACGGGTGGTATGATTTTCAAAACTATAAAAAAAAAAAAATCAGTCCTTCTCTCACCCCAGTCCCCAACCCCCTAGTTGCCCTCACTGGGGGTAACCACCATTAACAGTTTCTTACGTTCTCTTCCAGAAGCATACCATCCCCTCATCAAGTCATCAAGTTTAAATGATGCTTATTTTACCGTTTTAAAATATAAAAGCAATCCTGCTCACTGTAGAATAGTTGGATAATATAGAAAGACACACCTAGGAGAATTAAAACCATTCGCAATGCCACCTCCTAAGGATAATCACTGGTAACATATTGATACATTTCCTTCTACACTCTTTTTCTAGGCCTATATTTAAAGCAAAGTTAGAGTCACAGTTTACATTGTTTCGTATCCTGCTCTTTGCCGTAACATTATTTCCTAGGCATTTCCCCATATTATAACCTTTTTACACAGATAAAATTTGGTTACAATTAATATTACGGGGCCAGGCATGGTGGCTTACACCTGAGATCCTAGCACTCTGGGAGGCCGAGGTGGGAGGATTGCTTGAGTTTAGGAGTTCGAGACCAGCTTGAGCAAGAGCTAGATCCCGTCTCTATTTTAAAGAAAAAAAAAACTATTAATATTAAGGACAACCTTGAACAAAAGGACTCCATAGAGGTGTCTGGGGAAAAGTAGCACTTGGCAAGGAAAACATGTCAACATAGGCTTCCACAGAATCACCGAGCCGCCTATTTCCCATGGGCTGCCAAATTGAATGGTTTACAAAGGAGAGATGGAAACTAAGCTATAATAAGTGCCTAGGCCAGGAGCTTTGAATATGTCACCTCATGTAATCTGCACAAGCCTGCAAAGTAAAAATCTCAGTTTTACAGAAACTAAAACTCAGGAGATGAAGTTTATCAGGTGGGAGCGGGCAGGGGTTGCAGCTGAGCCTCACAGACCTAGACCCAGACTTTTGGCACCATCCGGGTTCAAGTGCAGAGGCTGGGTTTCAAATTCCGGGTTTGTCTGTTTCAAAACTTGGGCTC